ATTAACATATATATATATATATATATATATATATATATATATATATATATATATATATATATAGAGAGAGAGAGAGAGAGAGAGAGAGAGAGAGGAACCCAATTAATCAACCAACCTCACTCACCCCTACCCCTTGTTCACTCATTCCTCCCGCCCCTAATGCCACACCATCCACCCTCATCACCTCTCCCCTATCCCTGCCCTAATCACCCTCATCATCGAAATTCTCCATTTACCCTTGTTGGCAGGTTGGCTGTTGGTTGGGTTATGGAAGTGGAGGTGGAGACGTGTGAGGTTGTTTGTGGGTGTGCGACTAGCGGTGGTGGTTGTTGAAGTGGTTGGGTGGTGGTGTAATCTATATGTGTGTGTGAGGTGGTGGCAGTCATAGTGATGACAACTTTGGTCTATTTGTTTCTCTTCAAAATTAAAATTGATTATTTATATGAATTTTTTATATTAAGTTTGAACTAGGGTTAAATCTGATGTTCTTTGTTTGAGATTGATGAGTTGAATTTATTGGACTTTTTTTGGTTCCAATTGGTGTGGGGACCAAGCACATACTGTCAGTCGACACTCGCATGGACCAAGCATGAGCTGCTGGTCGGCACTTGCAAGGGCCAGGCATCGCCTGTCAGTCGGCGCCTACCTAGGAGAGCCACTGCCACTCAGCAGCCTCTTCAGCTCTGCCGATCGACACTAGTCCACGAAGGGTCCTTATGTGAGCTTACTTGCAACCAGTAAGCCTCAACTGCTCAGCTACCTCTTTGTTACCCAAGTTCCTAGAGCTCCCTTGTCCATCTTCGCTAGGAGACTTCTATTCAGCTAAGAACCAACCAAGGGTTGTGAGTCCTATTTCAACTCTACTCCAAGTATCTAGGTAATAGTGATAAGGCCAACAATGCTCTTAGCAAGCAAATCTCTTTCTTCAATCTAAGATCGAGTATCCTAGTGTAATTCTACCTCGAATAACCTGGAGCTGGTGATAAGGATTGAGGACCAAAAGTCTTAGTCTAACTCGGCTATGAATATTTGGGACCTGGTGACGAGGTTGAGCCAATCAACCTTGAGTTCGGGTTCCTTTAGAACATATCTCCCTACCACTATAAATAAAGGCCCCGGGTACTAGATAAGACATTCAATATGAGCCTATTCACTCTATACTTTTCTTCGACTAGCTTACTGACTTAAACATTGAAGTCCCTTTGGTTACCTCCAGCCATTAGTTCACATAGGTGTTCTCTTGTCTTGCAAGTTTAGTAAACTCATTCACTACCCTCTCCATTCATACAAGGTGGTGGCTTTTTGTCTGAAATTATTCTCGCACAATTGGTGCCATTTGTGGGAAGCGAGTTAGTTTTCTACCAATGAAGAAGCCTTGAATCATGACTGCGTGAGAGAGTCCTTGCCCTAGGAACCAGCCACGACACTTCCACTGCCTCTTATCCTTGAAGATTCCACTAACTATGACCTCCAATTATCAGAGAACGTACTACTCTATGATTGATAGGAGCACTTTTAAGAAACACCTCATTCTCATCGCAACCTACCTACCATTGGTGTAGAAGGTGGGTTAGCTATCAAGATGGTTTACCATGAGGTAATAAGGAAGAAGACGGAGGAGTTAGAAACCCTCAAGCAAGGGTTCCTTCTCCAAAGGGGCAATAAACTAGCTAGTCAGGTTATACACTCACCTTATCAAAGTGATCACCAGAACAATCACACATATGAGACTCAATACGCCTGTCATAGTGACAGGTTGTTGGCAATGAGCTATTCAACCCATGATCAGTGTTAAGGCAAATATTCACCGGGACGCAATACTTTTTGGCGCTTTCCTAGGTACCCTTCACCTAGAAGGAACCCTCCTTGTCATATGGAAAGAGGAGGGGAGTCACATAGGGAATGCCGCCCTAGGGAGCGTAGAGAAAGGCATGAGAGTTCAACCTGCCACTCTACACGAGATGATTGGTATGACGATTATAGAAAAACGAAACATAGGCGCTCTAAACCAACCCGTGAAGTGGCCACCCAGTTGTAATACAACTTCGCTCAAGATTACCTCATATATTCAGTGAAGGAGAGGTGCCTCACCTTGGAAGTCAAGGGCGGAGCCAGAATTTCTTTTCAGTGGGGGCAACTATCAAGTTAAAGAGAATCGGAGGCAACTATCAAGTTAAAGAGAATGAGTACTCAATAATTATTAAAGTTCGTTGCATCTAGTGAACATATTTATTATCTCAAAATTTCATTTTCTATAAAAATTTTTTTCCTAATCTATCACCTTTTATAAAATAATTCTTCATATTATTTTTTTTACTTTCAAAGATTTCACATATAAAGACGCGTAAAAAAATGATAGCCGACTATAAAAAACTAATATTTTTTTTAAAGTATTAGAATAAAGACAATTTTATAGAGAATACTACTTTGACATATCATTTTGTGAGTGTGTTTGTCAATGATAAGATTTTGACTCATCCGAATGACTATTTGTCTTGAAAACCTTATTTTTAATCTAATCTAATTATTCAACTGATTTGTGTGTGTGTGTGTGTCGCATTGTAATTTTAATTCAATTTAATTGTTTAGTTTTGTCAAATGTTTACATATATATAATTGTGTATGCATATCAAATTGAATCGAAGTGAATTGAATTGAATCATTATTAGATCAAATTTTTTTATGCGCCCAAATCTAAAATCTTAGAAAATGATGTAGTATATTTGATCGAAGTGAATTGAATTGAATCATAATTAGATCAAATTTTTTAATGTGCCCAAATCTAAAATCTTAGAAAATAATGTAGTATATTTGAACTTAGATAATTGGTCAAAAATATATATGTCTTAATAATCGAATTTGGAGAAGGATTGATTCAATAACTTAAGTAAGTCATTGTAGAAGGAATAAAGACAACTAGAGATTAAATAAAATATTGTGAGATTAAGTTTCTATGAGCAAACCTTGAGTCTAAATTTTTTGTGCATTAAAAAAAATGAGTGGGGGCAAGTTATTAAATTTTTTTTTTTATTATAATTTTAAATTAACCTTACAAATTTTTAGAATTTCAGTGGGGGCAATTGCCCCCACCTCGCCTCCTCCCCTGTTGGAAGTTGTAAACCCAAGTATAAGTTGTCAAGCAAGTAATAAATCTTGGCAAAGTCCAAGCTTGAAGGTGCATTAGAGTAATCTTGATATAATTTCGTGACAATATACAAGAGTAAGAAATTAAAGATTATAACTCGAAAACAATCAAGAACAAAATAAATTGCAAACCTCAAAATTAATTGCAAGCTTGAAGGTGCATCAGAGTAATCTTGATATAATTTCGTGACAATACAAGAGTAAGAAATTAAAGATTATAACTCGAAAACAATCAAGAACAAAATAAATTGCAAACTAATCTCCACACCCTAGTGTATAAAGAAAGCTTAATACTAAGTATAGAAACTATCTTCTTGATGAAAGTTTTGAAGATCATAATCTTACGCACAACAGCTCAACCAATACATCGTGAAAAGTATCAAATATATAAAACATAATGTAATCATAAGCATGAAAATTACAAGGGAAGCATAGGACATTTTCATGTTAGAAACAAAATGTTAATAAAAGTCTTTGAACATGGGTCAAGTGAGGAGCTACCGACTATACTGTGATAATAAAAGTCCTTGAACAGTTCAAAAATGTTATGCTATCGGAGCTACAAAAGCTGAGGAGACAATCGAGGGAGTTGTTGGAGCCTTCCACTTTCTGGTGATGTCTTTTGGCTTAACGAAGAGTGTTTAAAAAAAATAATGAGTTGCTTCTATCTGCGATACATACTTTCAGCTACTTTGTTGAATACTTTTAAAGATTGCTTGCATATCATAATTAGCCCTTAAACTTTACCTTATATTTTAAAATGGTACTTATACTTTTAATTGTCTCAATTTAGTCTCTCAACTATCAATTACATGTCAATTAAGTAATTCCATCAATTTTAGTCATTAGAACAAACGACGGCATATGATGTGAACAACCACACGACAAAAACGTTGCTTATCTCCATTTATTCTAATAACTCAAATTGATGAAATGATTTAATTGAAATCAAATTAATAGTTAATGGACCAAATTAAAACAATTGAAAGTTTAGAGATCATTTTAAAATCGAAGGAAAAGTTTGAGGATTGATTGTAATATATACCCTATAATAAAGAATAATGCTATTGAGACCTAAAAAATTAATCTAACTTGCTAACCTAATAATGTGATAATGATGTGGTCTAATAGTGTTGTTGCGACTATAACTCTTGAACTTTTTCATTGAAATTTCATAATTTGACAAATCATTATGTTAACAAATTAAATCAATTTTTAAGTCTCAATAGTATTACTCTATAATAAAACACAAAGTTTCTCAATATTAAATCATAATGACGAGTCATATTATTTAGTATTACGATCCAATAGTGAATCTTGCAAACTTATATCTTAACCACAATAAATATTTTAACTATATTTACATTTCAACTACCCACTTATATTCTAATTAAAGTAAATATTTTAACTATGTTGACATTTCAATCACTCAATTGCATTTTAACCATAGTAAAAAAAATGCATTAAACCGGTTAGCCTAGTCTATCTATACAAGAAAGCATGCTAAGACACTTGGCAGAAAACAGGAGTGAAAATGAAGCTCAACTACTTGTGTCGCTCAAACTCCAACTTAATGCACATATGGCTGCAGTCGTTCATTCTACTAAACGGTCATCGTTGGACCACTGAATGCAAAAACCTTAGACAAGCATCCTGCAGTTATTTCATTTAACAAATAAAAATTCTCTACATCGTACTTCCCCCCACTTACACATGAGAAAAAGTTTTGAGGTAAGTGTATACCATCTATGCAGTCGTGCTCTTAGCAAATCGGAGATGTCATCACTGTTCTAATGCCTGGAAGCCTGTTTTGTTGTCATCTCAAATGGACAACGAGGCTCTCTTAAGGGTCACTTTCACGGCCTTAAAGCAATCCTTGTGCAACACACGTCTCGGGCACCCAGAAAAATCCTTGCGCTGTCGAATGCCTCAGCCTTCCTCAGGCTTGACACAAGCATCACGCCAGACTCCATATCACTAGCGTGGTCTTCATGCTTGTGGTGTACACTAGAAGGCAAATAGGGAGAACACCCTATAGCACACAAACCGAGAATTTCCAAAGACTACCAAGAAAGCAACAATTTCTGGGGGCTTATGCTAATTAAGCGCCCTATAGGAAAGAAAATCATATGATTTGTGGTAATTAAGCGCCCTATAGCACAGAAAAACATATGATCATAAGCTATATAAGAAGGCAGGCAGTAAAAGCATAAGTCAATGGGTGAAAAGGTCAGCCAATAGACCAAGCACCAAAATGAAGGACATCTAAAACTAGAAAACCCTAAAAAGGAAGGAAGTGTAGCCAAGCCCGCCAGCTTTACCGTTTAAACCCCATCAGATCTTATATTCCATTAAACCTCCAATTTCCATAACCTCAATCAAAGCCACTGCCCAATGTCACAGACCATCACACGCATTAATAAAAACAAGATCTCTCTGGCAGTTGCTAACTCCTAATGCTAGCTACAGAAACTTTAACAACCACGTAAGAAAGATATTGAATTTCTACATGACTCACATTTCACACCACAGAAATCTCGGGGTTAAAAAAACATGATAAACAGAAATCTGCAATACCAAAGATAGGATTTACTGCTGCTTTTGCGAAACCATTACAAATAGAAGTAATAAAGAGTCTTCATTGGATTCTCAACTTCACCAAATCTTCACACGTTACAAAGCCAAATAAACGTCTCATCTTCCCTGTCAAGCTATTATATATACATGTAAGATTACATTCTTCTTAAATTGTCTAACCTGGCCTGCAAATCACTATCTATCCCACTGTCATCATTTGCTGTTGCTTCAGCTTGCGCAACCTTACCTTTCACAGCTGGGGCAGCTACAGCGGAGGAGGGTGCATTCAAAAGCTGTGCATAAAATTGAAACAACAATGATATCATCAGCATCAGTTCTCACAATTGTCTTATACAACAGAGAGAGCACAATTACACCAAGTAAATGTACACAGAGAAACAAATGGAGTAGCAGAAATACCTCTGAATTGATATCAATTCCAATCTCATCAAGGACCTGGCTCACCAGCTCTTCTGTCTCTTCTTCTTCTTCGTCTCCTTCCAAAGCATCGTCAATGGCATCTCCCATCACCTCAGTTACCATTTCCATCTTCTCATTTTGCCTCTCAAATTCTTGCATTATTTTCTGCAACGATGGCAAGTTCATCTGTCTGTTCATCTGGCCCATCGCCTTTGTCACACCTTTCATTGCCTCGCCCATTGCTTGTGTCGATTTCAGAGTCTTAGTAGATAAAAGGGAAAAATTAGCAACTTTTAGTATCACAAGTAGAAAAATTGCACAATTCTTACAAATATGTTAGTGTCAATCCACATTAGGGCCAACCAGAAGAACACAGAGGCGTAGCCAACATATTTGACCAAATAAGGACACAAGCCAATGGATCAAAACTTGGTCAAACAAAAACAAAGATATGATATACAAACGTCCAAATTGAAATTCATATGCATCAATGAAGCACAAAGGCATGGAGATGTCTAATTAAGTAAAGAGTAAGCATACTAGCATAAATTTTTCCACTTTATATGATAACCTTATGAGCCTAGAAATCCCTGAACACTCCCATATAAAATCAATCCGTAGCGAGCAACTAAGGTCCTTGAGCTTCCTCCTATGATTAGCATTGTAATAACTTCAACGTTCAAACCCTTAATCCTAATGAAACCAAAGTATGACATACACAAATCCTATTTGAAACGCCTTAGCTCTGACAGAGCACAAATGCGCAGAATGTATGGATAAAATAAAGTAAGGAACAAAAAACCAAGCCTGCCAATGTCTAAGCAGTATATGAATATACTAATATGGATAAAATGCAACAAAGAGTACATCTCTCTTAAGTTTGCTCCAACCAACATAAGTCCCAAACAGTAAGACTCAATGCATAACACCCCACACTGCATCACCAGACTTCTAAAAGTTTCTCTAAGAACTGTTGTCAAACTTCTATTATCTCTAATTACCTTGACCTTGCATTAGACCTTCCCACCAACAAAAAAGATGCCTTTCAATTTCTTATTAACCTCATTCAAAATAAGATCCAATGTTGGAGTACCCTAGCCCTCTCTCAAGCAGGCCAAACCATTCTCATCAAATCCACTCTTACCTCTACTCCAGTCTATGTTCTTTTCTCCATCCAATTCGCCCTTCCATTTGAAACCAACTTAGCTGCATACCAGCTAAGTTGTGGTGGACTGGTGGAGTGTCAAGAACGGAAGAAAAAACCACCCCCTCACTTGCTCAATTACAGCAACAGCAAACTTTTGGCACCCTGAAAGCTGGAAGGCCTCGGTAACAGTTTGATCTTCAGCTGCAATCTGTTTACCCTTGGTATACATTGGCAGGTTGGCTAGATTCCCAAATCAACACCTCCCCATCCTCGCTAATCCCCTCTCTCTCCCTCTTTGATTGGAAGAGCATATCAACATCTTTGAATTGGCCATTAAAATCAGCTGAAAGGGTCCCTTAAACTTTTGAAACAACACATAGATAGTCACCCACATGGTTCCATTACTGGGTCAGAATAATTTATTCAATGACACATATTACACAGGTTTTGAGCTTCAACACACACAAAATTATACATGTAGAAAAGAATACAAGAGGGCATAGTATAATATGTTTAAAACATAATAATAATATGTAGGAGTCAAAACATACCTGAATTCTAAGAGCTACACCCTGGAGTTGGGATTTTAGCTTGTAAAATTTTTCGACCTGATGTCGTGTTCTAATTAAGTCTTTGGCCATCACCTTAACAGCTCCCTGGGAAAAAAATTCAAGCCAAATAAAAATGATGTTGCTCAAAAGTGGTTAGATTTATGTTCACTCATTTTGGTACATCACTATAATACTGGCAATAAAGGGTATGATGATCAGACACACTGACCATTCACCCACTCAGACACACAATGACTCTATTAAGGAGCAGTCTAATAACTAATCAAGAGTGATGAATTTCCACCACAAGTACATGAAGTAGCATGGTGTACGAACTAGAGATTAACATGACATAAGCTGATATTGGACTCAATTGAAGTCAAGTTCCCAAGTGTTACTGTTTTTCCAAATAGATTCAATTTTATCAGGCAAGCTGATTTTAGTAGAAATGCACAATGCATATAGATCTGGCATTTGTTTACACAATAAAAATCATGAACGAGTGTGATGATATGATTGTAAAAATTGAACCGAACTTATCAAGTCCATAGCAAAATACATGAACATCCGGAGCACTGTGTGGTAAGCCAATATGTCCTTCCACATAACATAAGTTGAGGACAGTATGTCCTCTTCAAGAAATTCACAACAGGGTAGCAGCATAGTAGATCTAAACCCAACTTCTAGTACCACCCCTCACTTACTAACCCAGAATACAATTTCCCCATACTAGAGGCACTTTTGGTTAACCTCCTTGACTTACTAACTCCAATGCAGACTAGGGCAAAGGTTCATCAAAAGAAGGGTCATTTTAATATTGGACTAGGTTTCCATTGTCATTAATGTCAATACAATAATCAGATGGATATTCCATTAACAAGGATTCCACAGTGCAAATTGTAGTCCGATTTTTGAAACAAAGTCAAAAAAATGATCAAAATGCCACAAATAACACATGAGAGCTAGTGAACAGTAATATTGCAAATAAGGGGACAATAACATGCAACCTATTATCACTGAGAGTAAAACTAACAAATCTCATTCTTCAAATATCTTTCGACGCAACTAGAGTCAAGCAGATTCAGGGGTGGAGGTAGGACTTCTGTTTAGTGGGGCCACTTCCAACTCATTGTTAAATTAAAATCATAATGCTAAGACAACTTAATTATATCACAAACATATTAATTCATCGATAATTAGGTTTAATTTCCAAGTTTGAAAGTTTAAACTATAATTTTCAACTTAGAATTTCAAATTTCAAGTCCAATTTTAATTCATATTTGAAACAAGTGCACACACTATAGGGGCTAAAAAGATAGTTGTGCCATTGAATTGCATGAAAGAAGCTTATATATGATTTTTTAAGTCAAAAGAAACCCACTTATTGACTAAAATATAAATAGTAATGTTATTTGGACCTAAAAAGCTGTTTTATTTTAATGACCTAATGATGTGGCAATTAATATGGTCCAATAATATTATTCTAATTACAACTCGTTGCAACTTGTGGACTTCTTATTGGGACCACATCAAACGTAATTTACTCAGTAAATTAAGTCAAATTTTTAGGTCCCAAAAATATTTTTCAAGTGTAAAAACATCCAGAAAAATTTAGAAATTTTTTAATGGGATAAATTCAAAAAAAAAAATTAGAAATTTCAAATGAACCTAAAAGAATTGGAGGATTGCACTGGGGGCACTTGCCCCCACCCACTGCCCCGAGTGTAAATCTACCCCAGGCAACATGCAAATAAGTAAACATCTTTGCTAAAGACCTTCATTAGAATTCGTGATGAGAAGCAATTGAATTGTCAAAATCAAATACACTATATTCATCTCCAAGTACAGAAAAACAAAAAACAAGAGTTAGAACATATTGCCGATATGAATTGAATCACTGATGAACTATATAGGCATTCACACCTTAAGCAAGAAGGTACATATATCCTTTTATGGAGAGCCATTGAAAACACATTCAAAGAGCGTGACCTATATTACAGCATGCAGTAGAATGGACTATGTGCTCCACATAGGAACTTTTTTTTGTGACAGGGGAGAAGAAGGCTAGGTCAAGAGAGTGAAGGACCCAGAATAAACATACCATCTGCCCTTGCTTTGCGCTTTTCTTTATCTCTGCGATTAGTTTCTTCTCCTGTGCTTGTAACCCTTGCCTCTCCCTTTCTATTTCTCGGATAGATTTATCAAGCATCCTTTTGTTTTCCCGCAGGAGTTCTGAAAGTCAAGACCATAAAAAATTAAACAAACACATGAATGACATGCGAGCTCTACTCGTGTTCTAGTTATAAGGCCGTAGTGCATAGATGATTATATTCCACAAATCATACTTTCACACAACTTGCAACAAGCAACAGTCAATCAATCCACAATACACTCTGATGTACATCGTATTAGCTCTGATACCAAATTGATCGTAGTATAGAAGAATTAGGGATGAGAAGGAAAGAAGAAGGAGATGAGAACAGAGAAAGAATTTGAGAAATAAGCAATATCAAGATTCAATATCAATAATCAATAATTAAAGTCTAATCTAAATAAAACCATTACATGCACCCTTTATATAGGAAAACCAAAACCCTAAAACAAATAAATAATGAAAAAAAAAACCCTCATAAGTTAAAAGAAATTACTTAAAAGATAAATATTAAAAGTATCTAAATAACTATCATAATTAATTTATAATATCTATCTAATTCCTATACGATCCCCATCATTCTCCTCCGGTAGAAAAAAACTCTCCTTTGGAGAGTCTTCAAAGCAGAAGTACCCTAAGAGAGCAACATGAAGATGACAGAACGCCTTATCTAAAATGAAAGAACCATCAACATCTTTCTATCGATTAGAATAAATGCAAGAATCTCCATCTGTAGCAATATAAATCTGGTCACGTAGCAAATCATCTATTTGACCTGAAATATGCGATGGAAGTGAAAAGATAAGAACTGGAGCTAGTGCTGAGGAAGAAGTAATTCCACCTGCAGAAAT